GATATATAGACAAATCTCTCTTGCCTCCTTCATGTTCTTGCTCGCCTGTTTCTCTATTTCGATATATCTGGTAGCATAAAATATGTATCTAGGTGTATCTACTTGAAATGTGCTATGAAATTATTAATTAGTTAGATAACATAAAATTTTTACAAAATATAAAGACAATTAATAAAGGGGAAACTAAGCAAATACTCCATAAAAATAAAATAATTACAAACATATAGCCCACTAAATAATTACACTATATACCCCCTCCCCCCACAAACTAATTTCTCTTAGCTGATATTAAGAGTGTGTTTGGTATGGAGGAAAACATTTCCAGGAAAATGTTTTCCAATTTTCCCATGTTTTGTTGGCTTAAATGTTTGGAAAATATTTTCCAAATCAAGTCATTTTCCTCAAATTTAAGGAAAATGACTTCCCTTCCAAAATTAAGGATAATATTTTTAAAAACTCTGAAATTCAAGAAGGGAGGGGGGGTGAATTAAAATTTCCTTCAGTCGACTTCCTATAATGGTCAGTCGACTCACCTACACGTTAGTAGAATAGATCAACAGTAATAGTAATTTCCAGAAAGTAAAAGCAGAGAGAGTTGATACTGGTTCGGAACACCGGTATGGTGCCTACTTCCAATCCCCTTGGGTTTTAAGGGTTTCCTTTAGAGCTTTGAAGTGAACTTCAGATGTACAGGGTTTTTGTAAGTTAATCCTGTCTGATATGCAAATCAGATGTTCTACCTTGACACTTCCTCTACTTGTAAACCTACACTCATAATCTTTCTTTCTCTTATCTTTTCAATTGTTTCACTCTCGTGATTACAAAGCTTTATGAAGGATAAAAAAAGATTACACTATAAGCTCAAGTGAAGTTGCGTACTTCACAACTAAGACTAATAAAGGTTTATATAGATTTGGATGGTTGTTGCTTTGTTTCGAAAACCCAAGGGAGTTTTAAATCAAGGATCCTTAAGATGATCGCTTGATATTACTTTAATTGATTTGCTGAATCATGTCCATATCAGATATGTGCATGATTAAATCAATTCCTTCCTTTGTTAGATTATCTTCCTTGAATCTTGGCTGATCTTCGATTCCTTCCTTGATTCTTGGCTAATGTATTCTTCCTTGAATCTTGACCAATCATCTACCATGAATCTTGGTTGATTGATTGACATATATTTTATTTCCTTCTTCAACTGTTTGTACTTCATGACTTGAGATCTCTTGCCTTCCATGTATTTCTTTACGAATCCTGACTGGGATCTGGCTGTCATAAGCTTCTTCTCTGTGTTGTTTTCCATAGTGTCTTCATGATTCCCAGGCTGCTTCTTGTTGATTCCTGCGAGTTGTCAATATTCAGAATATAAAATTAACAATCTCCCCCTTTCTGATTCAGAATATAAAATTAACAATCTCTATTTCACTTTTTCATTATTTTATTATTATTTTCTATTATTTTGTAGTTAACATATTATTTTTCATATAGACCATTAATTATATCTCTAATATTAATAATTCATTTTAAATGTAATATAACATTTTTAAAAAAAATATTATTTAATATATACTACTTTCATCCCGAATTAATAATGTTTCAATTTTTTTAAATTTTCGTCACTTTAATATAGATTGATATCATTATTATTTTCACTATGAAGAATGCACAAAATTAAAATGATAAGATGAAAATTTTAATTTAAAAATACAATACATGACATAATAATTTAAATACAAGATAACAATACATAACACAATAATTTTATCACAACGATAATTTAGTAATCCGGTAGGTCATTTTTCAGATTTAACAATATTCGGAAAAAAATAGTATATGATCTACATAATTAGTGTAGTTGTGATTGCGGTTGTGCTTGTTGATTTCTTTTTTCAATTATTCGTAGTTGTTCTTGTTGAATGAAAATCTCCGATTTGAACAATCTTTAGCTAGACATAAAATGATTAAGGATAAAAATGTTCATTTTGAACTCCGTAATGCATTAATAGAGCATTTATGAGAGCAATGTAATAATCTTGAAAGTAGAGTATTTATGTAATTATATTTCACTAATAATTTCACTTTTATTTGAATTGTCCATTAATTTGTATATTATATAATATTAACTTGCAATTTATGTTATTTATAAATTTAGGAAAAATATAATTTTATATTAAGTAATGAATTTGAAAAAATAAAATTTTATATTACATGAATATTATAT